CTATTGTGGGTCCCATTGATAGTCTCTCTATAAATGCCAACACTTTTAGCCGATCCCTGACTGACGGGAAACGGGCTCTCAGTATAAACTCATACAAATATTTATGTGATTTATGAGCGGCCGATGATATCCATGAACTCATTACAATCATCATAACCACTAACAACATGATAAACATCATAAAAACGGCACACATGAATCTGCCAATAATTGGTATACCTTCATGATATGTGCCGTACAATGTTAACAATAGGCCAACTGTGCCCACGAAATAGATAACAAATACGAGGCACCGGTACCAGTGGTCCGCCTCCCGGACCTGTCTCTCCCAATAGCTGTGCTCATGAGTTATGGCCAATACGTGGCGCACATTACCCGCCATAATGGCCGAAAGTATATCGACTGTAATCTCGTTGAACTTGTATTTAAAATAAGCAGCCGAGCCGTACCACATGCTAAAACCAAACATGACCATGCCCAAACCGGTGTACATGGTGGTCAAAGCTGTCACATTCCACACAATCAACATGATCAATCCGTGCGCTGTAGGCTGTCTTATAAACAATATCAATGTCAATAATACGTGCGCAGGGCCAAATACAAACATGAGCATGGTGTGAGTCGGGTTCAGAAGATACTTGCCACAAACGCCCATTAACGTAGCAATTTTACTCAAATGAGCTTGATTAATTGTATACATAAATGTGCAATATTTTAAATTATAAAACCACCTTGCCACATGTAAAGTGCCGGTCAGCTCCTGGTATATGGCGATTAAACCAATCAAAAACACTGACCCAACGGTAGACATAATAGCTGTGAAAATGAGTGTACGATTGCCAACAAACTCACCCGTATCAAACAACCATGTTAACCTTACGTTTGTGTGATTAATGAGCATGGTAAATAATAGACGTGCAATGTTCAAACCCATGGCCAGTCGGGTGAATACGACGGCTCGGAGGCGCCACTTATGCCGATCGCCGCTAACGTATTGGTCGGACGTACGACAGATCGTGCAAAACGTGCGGCACATAAATTGCTCAATGCTTTCAACACTGGTCCGAATATTTTTCGCTAACATAATCCGTTTAATATACCTAGCTGATTTTTCTCTATGTTTAAGATTGGTGTTTATTCTGCGCTTAACTTTGAATTTTACAAAAATCATATTGTTTGTAATTTATTATTTATTTTAGTATATTATTATTATAAATTACTAATTACTACTGTATATTCTACTGTATATTTACAACTAGACTATTAAGTAATTGTAATTACAAGTAATTATGATTTATTAATATCTATAACATAATAGACATAATTTTTATTTTATGATCTAATCAATAATAGATATCATTTTGCAGTTTATTTGACTATTTAGTGCAACTGTCTTTAATTTGGCCATCATTAATCAAATTGATTTTACATTATATTTTGTTCAAGGCTAATAACAATATTAATTCATACAAAAATAGCACATAAATGTCAATCAGTGTAATCACTAATCAAATAAATCAATAAATTGTGTTTAATATCAAACAAAAAATATTATATAAAGATTTACATTATAAGATTCACAGTATATTTATTATGCAATAAAATAAAGTAAATGCCCTATTAAGTTTATAAAACAAACACAAAATAATTAAAAAATTTAAAGCAAACATATTTGTAATACAATATATAGTAACATTAAATAAAATAACAATTACATAAAATAACAAAACTTATTTTTATAAACCCTCAATAATGGGCACAATTTTCTCAATACTTCTATTGCTTTGAATACGTTTTGAAGCTAAGTACCCGGACAAAAGTACCCGGACAAAAGTACCCGGACAAAAGTACCCGGACAAAAGTACCCGGACAAAAGTACCCGGACAAAAGTACCAATTTTTGCATAATATAGTATAAGAATTACATAAAAATATTATTATCTTTAAAAATGTAAACAATTTTATTAGTGATAATAAATGAATATTTTGTAATATATTTTAGAATATAAATTTTATATTGCGAAGGGGTTTCAGGTGGAATAGTTTTCCAGTGATAACATCTAGTCACTAATAAAATGAATCAATAAATTCTGTCCAAACCAAAAATTACATCTATTATAAGATTTACAGTATATTTATTATGCAATAAAATAAAGTAAATAATTATTTAAATAATTTCAAAATTTAAAGCAAGCATTTTATTCATACAGTAAACATAAAATAGCAAAACATAACAAAACATGTTTCACTCATTATTTTACTAAACCCTCAATAATGGGCACAATTTTCTCAATACTTCTATCTCTTTGAATACGTTTTGATGCCTTTCGACACTTTTCACTCATCCCTCTATCGGACAGCACTCTGTCGACCGCATCTAACAGATCCCTATCTGAGCACTGGTAGGGGTCAAGCCTTACCCCATAACCCAACTCGTGAACCCTCTGTGCGTTATCAAACTGGTCAAAAAACAGGGGCAAAACAATCATAGGTTTGCCATAAAACATGGTTTCAGTAACCGTATTATTCCCGCCATGCGTTATGACCGCATCCACCGTCTGGAGCACTCGGATCTGCGGCACAGACCTCTGGCCCCACATATTAACGCCCGGCAACTCATACTGATCGTGATGTACACCTTTGGACACAATAAACCTGTGCCTAGACTTAGCCAAAATACCCACCAACCGGGCCATCAGCTCAGTATTAAAGCTGCCCATAGAGCCCAACGACAGGTACATCAACCCTCCGGACCTCTCCCTGAGCTGATCGGGCACTTCAAAGGGCGGTTCGTCGGCACCGGACCTCTTGAAACAGTCAAACCCGTGGTAAGTGTCGGGCAGTGGACGCCTGTCGGTGTAGTCCAGCTCTTTAGGTGTCATATAAAAGGTGGCGTAAGGCGAGGGCAGCCACATCTGGTAGGGTTCGGGGGCCGGACAGCCCAACCCTACCATCCAGTCTCTGTATTGCGGCCACGACTTGGCTTTACATTCGTTAATTATTGCCCGATATTTGTCCCACAGTTTTCTGTCGCTATTTATTGGCAAACCTAATAAATCATAAAAAACAATTAGTATTTATATTAATTACTAATTAATTACTAATTAATAATTTGGATTAACTTAAATAACTTATCTTAACTAAATAAATTAGTTTAGATAAATAGTAGTTCTAGATAAATATCTACAGTAGATAGATAACTAGATAAATAATTTAAATAATAAAAACAGATCAAACCTAGGGCGGATGGGGGCACATGTGGACAGTCAACGACCCAATCCAGCGACAGTGGGCTATTGCTCCAACTGAACACCCAGGGTATGCCGGAGGTTACGATCGCCGGCACAGTCATCATATGATCGGTGATAATAACATCAGGCGCCACCGACTTAATAATCTCGCGATAATGTGGGTCATTTTCAGTTTCAACCAGGGTAATCTTATCGGACAATACTTTTGTGATCACCCGTTGGGCCTTTTCCAGAGGTGTCCTGTCGTCGAGTATGCCGTTAGAGGCGGCCGACTCGGCGTTACTGTCCATAGAGTCCATGGATTGCTGGCCCGCAGTAACCGTTGTGTTACCCATTACTCGCACCTCAAAGCCCATGGACTCGAGTCGTACCCTCCAGTCATGGCTTATGGCAAACACTATACGATGGCCGGACTCCCGGAGCACTTCAGCCATACCCACGTTGGAGTTTACGGCTCCCACGTAGTGCATTGGAGCAAACAATATGGTCAATTTTCTCGATGACATCTTGTTGAGTTAATTAATGTTAGCAAATAAATGAAATGGAGATGGTTTTAAATCTAGTTAATGTGCTTTATGTTTGATATATAATAGTTTAAATGTATAACAAGTAGATAACAAATAACAGAACAACTATGTGCTGTTCAACATTTATCACGTTATCATTTAATATAATCAATGTCCTTAATTCAATGTAAACAAATTTGTGTTAATCTTTCGTAATAAATGATAATTTAAATGTTTAATTACTAATCAAGATTGTGGCAATGAAATATCGTAATTGCAATTTTTTAACTAATACAAAATAATATAAATATTCTTTTTATAGTAACTTTTCTATTATCATTTTACGATTAATTTATTAATCAAATAAATTAACAATTAACAAATAATTTGCACCACAAAAATAAAAGTATTGAGATAACTCATAGCTATTCATTGGGAATAAATCATAACAATAGTAGCCTATTGTGGGTCCCATTGATAGCCTCTCTATAAATGCCAACACTTTTAGGCGATCCCTAACTGAGCGGAAACGGGCTTTAAATCGAAATCTATACAAATATTTATACGGCTTGTGAGCGGCCGTTGAGATCCACGAACTCATTATAATCATCATAAATGCTAACAATAAATTATAACCTATAAATATACCCAACATGAATCTAACCAATACCGGTATATCCCGGTGATAAGTACCATACAGCGACAATAGCATACCACAAGTGGCCACGTAGTAAATTATAAATATCAGATTCCGGAAAAAATAATTGTTTGCCCGCACCTGACGTTCCCAATAGCAGTGTTGGCGAGTGATGGCCAGCATATGGTTGACATCATTACGTGTAACTGCGGTCCGTAAATTGCATGTAATGTCGGTAAATTTGTACTTGAAATAGGCTGCTGAAACGTACCATGCAAAGTATCCGGAAAATACCATACCCAATCCGATGATGGCCTCAAATAACAGACACGCATTCCATAAAATAAACATGATAAAACCATACAAAGTAGCCTCACGCGAGTATATTATCAAAGTAACCATAAAGTGAAAACCGCAAATCATACAGATCAACATTATTAGTATTTGATTCATAAAATACTTTCCAAACACATTCATGACTGTAATAATTTGTTTTAACTTGGTTCCCTTAAGGGGATATTTAAACATGCTATATTTAAGCATGTAAAGCCATTTAACCGATGTTAAGGTGCCGGTCAGCTCCTGGTGTATCTCAACGCAACCAATCAGAAACACGGCTCCAATGACCGATAGGCATACAATGTAAATAAGGGTACGATTACCTAGAAACTCTCGTAGGTCGCATAACCACATTATTCTAACATGGTCGCTTTTTATTGCCAAGATAAAGAGAAAGCGTATGATGGTTAACAGGGCGGCCACTCGGGTACAAATTACTGCTATTAAGCGCCACATAAGTCGATCGCCGCTAACGTATTGATCGGTTGTTATACTATACGTAATAAATGCACGGCTCGTGAATCGCTCGATGCGCTCAACACAACGCCTGACGTCTTGGTTAGCGTTTATAACCCGAGCCATAACTGGTGATTGTTTGGCCAAATGTTTGTGTTTTAACTTTTTGATTGCATTCATCATGGTTGATACTTAATATTTATGGTAACCTATTTGTTTTAATAAAGCGACACTGTTAATAAATTGGTAGGAATAATAATATTGTATAGCTGGCCAACCTATCAACCATATTAACAGTTTAATTATATAATTATTAATAATAGCTTTTGTGTGTTTAATAATTTCAAACTAACTTAAATTTATATCCTGGTGAAGCCTACGCTAATTAATATTGTTTGTTAATTAATTATACACTAGCTAACCTATGTCCCCATTACATATCTTATTAACCCTCATTACAAATCTGCCGATCCTCCTTTCTCATTAAGGTAGACCCATTAAGGTAAACCCATTAAGGTAAACCCATTAAGGTAAACCCATTAAGGTAAACCCATTAAGGTAAACCCATTAAGGTAAACCCATTAAGGTAAACCCATTAAGGTAAACCTATTAAGGTAAACCCATTAAGATAAACAAACTAAATAATAAAGTACGAGGACATGTTACCAAATTATTTGTTGTTTTCTATCCCCTCTATAGTTTTCAATACTCTCCCACCCCCTTATTGTATGATACTGTTGTAGTTGTAAAGTTCATTTAGTTGAAATAATAAAGAGGATTTAATACGCGTGACATAGATTAACATCTATTAACTAAAAGTACATTTATTTTAAAACTACAATATCCAATTTATTATTTATTATTGTTGTAATTTAGTATTTCCATTATTTTATATAATATTGGAAAAGTACATCTTACCTAAATATATAAATTGATGTGTAGACACTTTATGAACCAAATAAATAACCAATGATTAACTCAATAATAAATAAATGTGAATTGCCACTTCTTAGATTTAATAATTTAAAATAATACTAATACTAAATTATAATGTACTTTTGTGGACATACTTTGAAATAATATCACGAATTTTAATCATTAAAAACTCATTTATTAAAATACATTCAGTGCTAAAAACAAAAAAATTTTATATAAAGTGCATGCAATTTAATTTATAAAAATATATCAAATATATCATTTATAATAAGATTATTATATAATTTTATTTTTAAAACATGCAATTAGGTTTTCAAATGGTTTTTAAGGTTTTCAAATTATACATAAAGATTATATAAAAATTATTTTAATATATTTCTTGATTTATATTTTTATATTCAAATACAATTATTTTTAAAAATTTTAAATACAAACTATAGATCATAAACTTATTGGTGTATTTATTAAGTTTATTAATTTATACAAATAACTAATTAAATCAAGAATGTGACAAATCCAAAGCACATTTAATAATTGCAATTTATTTTTATAATTGTACAAAATTATACACTTTTGTTAATGTATTAATACAAATGCTATTAAGATTTTTTAAACTAAAAAGTGTTAATTAAATATACTAACAAATAGCAAATAATTTGCACCACAAAAGTATATGTATTGATACAACTCATAGCTATTCATTAGAAATAAATCATAACAATAGTAGCCTATTGTGGGTCCCATTGATAGCCTCTCTATGAATGCCAACACTTTTAGTCTATCCCTGACTGACGGGAAACGGGCTCTCAGTATAAACTCATACAAATATTTATGTGATTTATGAGCGGCCGATGATATCCATGAACTCATTACAATCATCATAAATACCAACAATAAAGTAAAACATATAAATATACCCAACATTAATCTAACATATAACGGTATATCCCGATGATAAGTACCATATAGCGAAAATAACATACCACCGGTGGGCACGTAGTGAATTATAAATATAAGGTTACGAAAAAAGTGATTGATTTCCCGCACCTGACGTTCCCAATAGCAGTGCTGGCGAGTGATGGCCAGCATATGGTTGACATCATTACGTGTAACTGCGGTTTGTATACTGCATGTAATCTCGGTGAATTTGTACTTGAAATATGCGGCCGAGCCGTACCATACAATGTACCCAAATAATACCATTCCAAATCCGGTAATGCTAACTAATAACATACACGCATTCCATAAAATAAACATGATAAAACCATACATAGTAGCCTCACGCGAGTATATTATCAAGGTAACGATAATGTGGAAGCCGCAAATCATGCACGTCAGCATCGCTAGTAATTTACGCATAAAATACTTGCTAAACACGTTCAAGACTGTGATAATTTTATTCAATTTGGCATGATGAAGGGGATATTTGAACTTGTTATATTTAAACATGTATAGCCAATTGAACAAGGTTAAAATGCCGGTCAGTACTTGACATAACAGTTCCTGTTATCTCAGAAAAACCAATCAGAAACACGGCTCCTAAGACTGATATATCTACTGTGTATACAAGACTACGATTGCATAAAAACTCGCGTATGTCACATAACCACATTATTTTAACATGGTCGCTTTTTATTATCAGCGTAATGAAAAGACGTATTACGGTTAACAACGTTGCCAGTCGAGTGCCCACAACTGTCATTAGGCGCCACTTATTGCCATTTATTTATGGTCTATTTTTGGGTGTCTTGTTGGGACACTTTTGCACAATTTTCATATTTTAAAAAACAATATTCTAATATCAAGGTTAGTTTCAATAAATAATTCCTAATTACATTTCATAATAGTGTATTTATATTATTAAACACAATATAAGGTAAATGTAATACTTTAAATGCAAAGTATATGTATAAAGTTATAATGAAAATAATGCTTTCATTTAACTATTAATGAATTGTTTATTAATTTAATTTAAACTTTTGTTTATAAAATGAATTTTATTTAAAACTTTTGTGTGTATTTGAAGTGAGTTTACATTTTTGTATTGACTCTGTATTGACTGACTTTATGTGTTGTAAGTCTGGGATGTAAATAAGGTTACAATTGGGTCACTTTGATGTCCAGTTTATTCAGGGAATGTGTGTACAATATGTGTGTAATTGTCGGCAGTGTTTGTGTTTAACATTCTGGTAGTGAAAATAGGGTTAATTTATTTTAAATATAGCCTAAAATACAAAGGAATAAATTTCAAAAATAATTAAAATATAAATTTCGTATGTTAAATTAAATATGCATACAATAAATTGATAAAACACATACAAACGTATAAATACACAAAATTAGCTCTCGAACAATATAAAAAGACCCAAAAATTACGATATAATAAATTCATATAATTTATGCAATTTAATTTGTTAAATAAAATAACGCAATAATTAAAAGATTGCTTACTTTAATTAATTTAATATAAAGCACACATAATTTATATTAAAAAATTTATTTAAAATGTAACATTAAATAATAAATATCATCGGGACTACCGATAATTAAGTGGTCACTAGTCAGCCACGGGTTGATCATTGAATATGATATGGTTATAAACATTAGATATTAACAATATTGAAAGAGTAGT